TTGAAATATTTATGTTTTTACGTATATAAGAATTTTTTATTTTCTATTATTTAAATTGTTGAACGTTATAGCAATACAATTGGATATAAATTATGTATCATATTATTTTGCGAAATCTAGTAAATTAGAAACTAATTCATAAAGTGTTAAATAAATGAATAGATAAATAAATATATTAATTTATTGAAAAAAAAAACTACATATATCTAATTTAAAAATTTCAATATTATTATTTCATTATTGGTATCTTTTTATCGTATTGTTTACAATTTATGAACTTAATCATATTTACTCTGTGCTTTTAGTCAAGTAATTTTTTTTTTTTAATGTGCATTAAAATTAATCATAAAAAACAAATTTGAAAGAAATTTTTTTTTTTTAATTTTTTTCATAAAATAATATAAAATAATTTTTTTTCAAGCATTATCTGATTTTTTATATTTCCAGATAATTTAATTGAAATTGTAATTCGATAATAATTTATTACTAAAATGAATATAATTAAAAATGTTCACTATTATTGTTTAAAATTCTATGAAATGGAAATAGACCAATAGATAAATACTGAAGTTGCGTAAGTAATTAGTAATTTTTAATTAGCTTTTATTCATAAAAATTACAATATTAATTAATTATGGACTATTTACACATCATATTTTGATAAAACATAATTGATTTTAATACGATATAGGTAATTTGAGTTTAGTATTTTAAATTCATAGTATTTTAAAAACTAATAACGAATATTTGCTAATTAGAATTATTATAATTTAGAACGGGATTGTTAAATAAACATAGAGCATATTTTTTTCATAACAACACATTTCTTATTTGTGACAGATTATTCTTTTATTCAAACTTTTTTGATAAATTATACGTCAGCATGCTAAGAATTAACATAACAACATAAATATTCAATATATACGGCGTCAATAAAAGATATCTTAATCAGTATGTAATACATACTAAATTATTATATTGTAACACGTTTTATCAAATTTGAACCATTTTCTATTGGCTTTATTAATAATATGCAATATTTATTCGTAAATTATAATCTCTAGATAGAATGAAATGTTTAGTTTAAGATTATGATAGAAAATGCAAATAATATTTATGTTATATATATAATAAATCATTTCCTTTGATTTATTCAATCATAATAGCTTTGCCCAAGATATTCTGATTAATTGATAAATTTGGAAATTTCTGCTTATTAGCATCTTCATTTACTTTTATGAATCTAACTTTAAATATAAATATTAGAAATATAAGCATTTTTTAATAGATAAGAATACTTTGAAATTTAATATTAAAAAAAGGACTGCAATATAAATTGCTATTAGTTTATTAAGTATAATTTTTTTTCTGAGAAATAATGTATACGTACAGAGAGTTTTTGATAATTCGTTCTAATTCTACGAAATATATTGGTCATGATAAGCTATTATTAAAATATAAATATAATTTTTGTTTCTAATTTCGTTCATAATGAATAAATTTAATGATACAATTTATATTATTTTACTTTTCTGCTTCAACGGTAGATATTGCTTTCAAAGTAATATCAGATAGTTTTTTCTCATATAAGATGTCAAAGAATTTCAATTTTGAAAAAGTATCAAATAATTTTATAAAACACTTGAAGACAAATGTTGAAGTCATAATTTTTTCACAAACATTCACAAAATAACTTAAAATGAAATGAAAAACGGCATATTGAGAAATTTAATAATAGCGAACAGTAGAGTAACATTACAAGAAAAAAAAAACAACATAATACGTGCATATATGTGTACAGTAATTGAATTTGTTAATTGGATTAGCAATTTTAATTAATCCTAAGAATTTACAATATTGAAGCTCAAAGAAAATTAATTCAGAAATTAATTCAGGCAATAAAAATTAAGATATTATTAATACTAAAAATATTCATAATAAGAAAATTTTAGCTAATGTTCACGTCAGTCAATCATAAATGAACGGCAAATCGATGGTGTCAAATTAATCGTATGCACATTCTATCCTGGAATAATGTTAAATAAATATTTGATTTTAATTTTAATTAAGCAATATTTAATTAATTATGATTCAAAGATTAACATGTCCATTAAATATGCAATATCATGTGAATTATATTCGATTGAAAGCAAATAACCTGGATATCTATGGCTTCTCATTTGAATTGATTTAAATTTATCACCTGTATCTGACGCATTCGATCCAGTCACTAGTGATAAGAGATCCGGATATTTATTATCGAAAAGATGGATCTCTCGTATATGTACTTACGTAGGACGTAACGTCATTCGAACAAAATTTGACATGTCCTTAGCCACTGCTGTACTTGGCAAGACATTCGTGACAATTCTGACAATTCTACGGTGAAACATCAAAATGTTCCAAAAAATTTTTCCATACATCACAGTGCTTTCGATTTTTAAGTGAGTAGAGTAAGAAAGAGATTGTTTCTTTTCATTTTTAAAAGAATTTTCTCTATGCACCATTTTAATCATGATATACATTTATTATGACATTCACATTAACGAGCGAGTCCGAATGAAAGATTTCTCAGCATTAAATAGTTGGGGTGCAGAATAAATGTGAAAATCGAATGTTTCTTATAGCAAGTGAGGCATAGAATTTCTTAGTTTCTTAGCCTTCATTACAAATAGCAGCAAACTCTATATAAATATATTTTACATTTTTTAATTAAAAGAATAAGCGCAGATTAATGAATGATTAAGTAATTTTTCATTGAATCCCATTGGAGTATCGTGAAAGCGTTGCATATAAACGTATTTCTCTATTTATATTCAGAAAAATCTCCCAAGAGTTGCATTATTTGAAAAAAATTTACATTATTTAATTACCTACTATTTTCTAAATTCATTAAATATATTCAGGTTAATGTTTAAAAAGATAATTCAATTATTCGGGTGTAATGAAACTATTTTGAATTGCAAAACGATTTAAAGATTGATTCTTGTCAAATATTTCATAAGAATAGTTCATATGATATTTATGTTAATAATAACAATAAAATAATTGCTATGTTAACGAGAATAGATAAAAAAATTTATAAATATACAAGATAAATTCATTCCATGAAATAAACTCAATTTTCAAATATTTATTAGTATTATATAAGTTAATTAATGTATTAATTACTTATAAATGAAGCGTATTTTCAATATTAAGTATTATTCAACTTGATAATGCGAGTAAAACAATTTCCTTGAAAGTTGATAATAATAAATTAAATAGTAACTATTATTCCAAGATTTAAAGGCACCATTTTGCTTTGTTCACGTCTATAAATAGCAATGCCATGAATTAAGTCTTGAAAGCGACTAAAATTTATTTGCCATTGACAAATAGTAGGAGAGATGAATTACGTCATTTGGTAAAAACTTTTAATACTTTTAATACTGATGAAGGATGCAAGATCGAGAATTTGAGGTGTTAAAATTTTTTAAACGGAGCGAGCTTCTTTTTTTCAATTTAAAGAATTCTTTGAAATATTGTATTAACAAAGTATTATATCATCACAATTATGAAATTTAAACTAATAAGATCTATACAGTTATCTTTTATGACATTACTATGGCTTATTTAAAACAATATAATAAACAGATTATTTATATTAGTAAAATTAAAACTTAACAATTTATTTTTCTTATTGGATGTTTTCCAAAAAAATTCGAATAATATTTGGGAAATTTTTTTAAATAGTATTTTCTTATTTATTTCAGATAATATTGAGTATATATATACATATATATACATATATATATATATATATATATATATATATATATATATAACGAAGAAAAATGTAAACTAAAAGAAAAATAACGTGTTATTAAAAGAAATTATGAAAATAAATTTTCAGTGACATTCTCTTATCTTATACTCTCTCTCTCTCTCTCTCTATCTCTATCTCTCTCTCTATCTCTCTCTCTATCTCTCGCTCTATCTATCTATTTTTCTTTTAATCTCTTTTATTTACGTGTTGAAAAATTACTATAAAAATAGGTAGTTGAAAGAATTTATTGTATAATTTCGTTTAATATACTATATAAATAATTAGTATAGTGAATGCGGTTTTGAAAGCACTTACATTGCAAAATATTTTGATTATTAGTTAAAAATATTGTATCGTCAAGTTTCAAAAGATTCCCTATTTTCTACTTTTTATACATATATAGTAAGAATTTTTTTTAATGCTTTCTTTAGTAAAGTATATAATAACGTAACTTTTATGGATTACAACGAAAAATGTCTTTTGCTTTTATTTTACCTTATGATTATTAAATATCATTGAAAATAAAACGTTCGAGCTATTTACCACATAAAATTAATTTATCATTAGCTCTCGATTTAATTAAATATTAATATTTTCGGGCATTTCTTTAAGCACTCTATAAGCTACTTTAAAATTATATAGATTCTTTTTTCTTAATTTTTTTAATTAATACTATGATTGTTTTTAGTCGTATTATGTACTATAATAGTATCGAATTGACAATTTCAATCTTAAATGCCATAATTTTCTAACGATAACAGTAATAAATTAAAAAAATAAAAAAAAAACTGTTTAAACGGATTTGAGAAACGGATTGACTGTTCATCCCTTTATGCGCAAATCTCATATAAACTTTCTAAGTTCTCGTTGTAAAGACAGTATTCTTGTGCTTTTGGCTCGTGAATTTACGTTCCTCAGAAATGTGCATATATGAAAAGTTCTAGTGATATGCGAGCTCGGGCGTTATAGTAAATTCAGTAGTAATTTCCGAGTTGATTACATACGCTGTACGTATATAAATATTGGCGTTGGTGCGCGCGCGCGCGCGCGCTTTTCAGATACGTGAATATTTTCGTGAAAAGAAAAATTTGGCGCGGGAGCTGTCGTGTGTCGGCTGGGCGACACGAGATGACACGCGTACAATATTTTCGTTCAATAAGCAAAAACTCTCTAGCGATATGATAATCCTCACCTGTCGATGGATATAGCCATGAGCGTGAAGACGCTGGCGCATATTGTGATAACAGCTATGAACTGGCTGATCTTGCAGTAGAGATTGCCGAATGGCCAGTGGCTGTTGAGCATGTAGGTGTAGTTGAATATGACGTTGAGCGTCGAGACCATTGCGTCGGCGATGCTCAGGTTGACGAGGAAATAGTTGGTCACGGTGCGCATACGCTTGTGCGCAAGCACGATCCAGATGACGATGAGGTTGCCGCCGGTTGCTACGGCGATCATGCCGGCGAACAAGACCGTCCAGATGATCTGCCGCCACCAGGGCAGAATGAATTTGTTGGAGTTCTGGTCGTCGGGGTCGAGGAGGCTCGCGTTAGATGTCGCGTTGCCCGCGAGCTCGAGCAGCTGGTCGTAGTACGTCGGCCAGGTCGTCGCGATCAACGTACCCGCGCTACCATTGAGGAGGGTGCCACCCAGGAGGTCATCGCGCGGACGGAGCATCGACTCGAGCACCGGTTCCTCGAAAGTTCCTTGCATCGTAGCAAGGAGCTTCGGAATCCCGAAGGCGCTCTGGCTTCGGTGGCCCCTCCGCTCTTCTTCGCCCCTTGATGCACTGCAACAAAGTCACACACGTGCGAAATGACGATTTTCCTAGTATCATTTTCGAATAAATGGAGCGTGACGGAGAATTTATCTCAGATAGTATAGATGATGTGGCGGATGTGTTTGTGGTATTTGTGGGGACAACGTATTCGAGAAGCTTTCTCCGCTAGAAATTTCATTCCGCTCGACGTTACAAGTACTAATCTACGCGAGAATCCGATAAATACTGACAAATTAGGCGAATCTTCGATAATTTTTTAATATGCCCGAGTGCTATTAGATTCACTTTGAAAAGAAGTTCTGCTGCACAATTTTGTTGCATCGAATGCTTTAATAATGCCGTTACAAAAATCAATTTTCCGACATTTCATCGGAATATAGCAGAAATTTTTTTTAAGAATGAAATAAGTAATGGCATAATATTGGGACATTCATTAGAATTTCAATTATTTCCTTGGATTTCCGTGGATTATGTAATTATAATTTAACTTTATGAATAACGAAAGAAATAGGCATTACGTTTTATTCCTTTTTCTTAAAAGCGATTCAATATTGAAATAACTTCAATCTTAGCTTGCATAGTTAATGAAATATCAATATTTGATTAATTTTTTAATATATATGTCAATATATATGTCAATCAAATCTATATATATATATATATATATATATATATATATATATATACTTTTCATGTTACCACAATATCAAAGTATATTTTCTGTTTTAATGGATTTTATAAAAATTTGCAATAAATATTTTTTTTCCTATATAACAAATGCAAGTGTGCATTAAAATACATATTGGTATATAAAAATTGAAAGCCCATTCATAAATTTTCACATACTATTTCAAGATATCTTTTAAATTCCATTCTATTTCAAGAACTTAAATATAAAAATATAAAAATTGATTAATGATTTAATAAAAATATAGTATATTAATTGTATCGAACCTTTTTTTTTTATTAAATTCGAAAAAGTTCCATTCAAAGATTTTGGGTCATAGTGAAGTGAAAATTGTGCGACATATCATTACACTTTAATATTCGATAACATGTTTTAAAATATATATTGTTTGAAACTAAGTATTTATTATATATCAAATTATACATTGTCTACTATTTCTTAATGTTCTACATAAATACGATGATAGTAAACTATTTAATCAAAAAAAAAAAAAAAAAAGATGTAAAAATATAAATTATTAAACGCATTAATTATATGATAGTGAGATGATAATAATTTACTGGAATTTGTCATTAAATTATAGATTTCATTCTATTATAAAAATAAATTAATGTTACGATTAAGTAATTTTTAAATCTGCTTATTAATCTGATGATAATGAAACTTATTATAAAATGAAAAACTTGGAACATACAAGAAGTGAAAAAATTGCTAATTAGGTAATTCCTAATAATATCTAGATTATTTGATATTTTTTATATGGTTTGATATTACTATATGGTACTATAATTTTTTTAGTTTTTTTAGATTTTCCGAGAATAATTGTGTTTAATTTGTAAAAATAGGCGAAACAGATATTTTGATGGACTATTCTATTTGCTTAAAATTACGTCAAAACGTTTAATACACACACACACATTATTAATTATAAAAATTTTAAATAATAAAAATAATTCACATTTATACTTCAACATTATTATTTTAATTTATTGCAAATATAACATGCAAAAAGTATAATAACTTCTAAATATCCGTAAAAAGTTCATAAAATGAATTTTTGTTAAATTTTAATATTCAGCGTATTAAGTAAAACGAAAAACAAATGCATAAATATCTCAGGATAGTATTTAAAAATTTTATGGCTGAATTAACAAGTTTTAGAATTTTGTTTTTAAGTAACAAATTAACATGTCAATAAAACACATTTATTTAACGTGTCTCATCTACATTCAAAACACATATTTTTTTCTATAATAAAATCTATTAATTAATTTATATATATGTAGAAGTAACAGAGACCAAAAAGACGAAGAACGGATATATTATGTCGGTCAGTTAAAATAGTAATTAATATATAAATATAAATATAAATATAAATATATTCCACCTATTTATCTTAAATGTACAATCATATATTTGACTAATGTATTGATGCAATGACAAAGACTGCCAAAAAGAACAAACAATAGCAAACCAGGAAAAATTTAGATAAATAATTGATGCTGGCGAGTTTAATGGCTGCTATACCTGTATCTGAGCCGGTGCCAAGCAAATATAATTTATTAGTTGGACTAACTACTTCTTAGTAGCTTCAAAAGCAACCTAAGTCATCATGTTTTTGCAAAACATGTAGATATTTTAGCAATCGACTCTTCCGTATAACTATAAAAGAAATCTTAATTTTATTTTCTTATTTTCCATTATATGATTCGACGGATACCGTAATTAATTATGTAAAAATTTCATTACGTAAATTCCAATTGCATCTTATAAATTTGCGTTTAATCTATAAATAAAGTAATTTTAAGCTCGTTCCAAAAGTTGAACTAATATTGAAGTGTTTTATGATGGATTTGCACTAGCCTGGGTATATAAGCTTTTCGCGAGAGAAATACATATTTTACGTTTATGCGGTTCGTTATATGAACAACACTGGCAACAGTGCCAATTTTACCGGTTTACCTTAAAATAAAAAAAATATCTAAATAGCAGCTTGTCACTCTTGTATATTCTTAAATAAATAGAGCACGAACTATTTCATTTTATGAATTCATAGAATATTACATTTCATTAAAAAAGAAAAAAAAAGAATACTATACAATTATATGTATTTGGAAATTAAACAAAAGTTTTTTCTTCTATGCACATTTGCTTTGAAATTGAATTAACTAAATAACAATTATGAGATATCTTTTCTATGACTGGCATTTATCTATAATACAGCTGTAATATACCTTAAAGGATAAACATAATTTGTAAAAATATAAATATTTTATTTATATAATTCATTATATATACAAACTATATTATATATTTATAAATTAAGATTTCAGGCGATATTATAAATGTAATTGAAAATATATACTAAGATAGATATTAAGTAATAATACCAAAGAATGACAAATTAAGCAACCTAATAATAACAGAGAAATAATAAATAATAATGTTGCAAATTTTAATCTGAATTTTCGATCAAATTTTCAATAAAAGTACTATGTAAGAAGTATTTAGTAAGAAAATTTACAAAATTATGACGCACGAGAAAATATAATTGAATGGTTTATTATTTAATATATATATATATATATATATATGGCCAGATAAATTCAAATTAATATTATTGTCGATATTTTATTGATATTGGAATAATTTAACGGTGTTTATAAAATTTAAATAGGAAATATACGCTATGAATATTAGATAATAATTGTATCTGACAGAACAACGGATGATTTAATTAAGTACTTTTAATTATAACATTAATATAAAAATATGTCGTCGTTTTCGAATTTTGAATGTTATTCAGCTTTCGTTGATCTACAATGAAATAATATGCCACTGTCATTTACTTGAAATATATAAATCAATGAAGAAAATCAAATCGTAGGAATATAACTAATTAATAATTGCGAGTTTGAAAAATGTAAAAAAGATTTTGAGATATCATAAAGATCCATTCCCCAAGCCAGTTCGTTAAAATGTAAATCGGACTTTCTTTAATTTTCCTATTGTAAATCCCAAGAAAGATGGAAAAGAATAAAGGTCGATTTTCAATCCAATATCCTCACCTTTTGTTCATCCATTAAAATCATTATAAACCAAAGAAAGAAAAAAAAGAATAGAAAAAATGCGAGATGACAAGCTTTGTCGGAATCGCAAAGTAAGATAAAGAAAAAAAAGAAAAAAAAAAAGAAGAAGTAGCAGAAGAAAATTAATAGAAGAAGTATTAAAGTACCGGAAAGAAGCTCAGTGATAGTGGATCTGAAAAAGAAACAATAGAAGGAAAAGATGGAGTTGGCGATGTCATAAGAGACATAAGAGAGACATAAGAGAGATAAGAGAGCGTTTTATTAGGTGCGCCCGTTCACGGTTGTCGTTGTTGCTGTTGTTACTTGCCGTCGACGACGATTAAACGGCGATTTCGTCGTTTCCTCCTGTCGCTCTCCCAATTTCGGTCAAGCAGTCGTAGCAGTCGTAGAAAGCGAGGATAAATGTCCATTGCCGTCCCGCTCTCTCACTCCTCATCCTCTTTTCTTCGAGTTCCTTTATCGCATATCGCACCCTTCAACTTGGCTCAACTCGATTCTCTCTCTCTCTCTTTCTCTCTCTCTCTCTCTCTCTCTCTCTCGGTGTGAGGGCTGTAACGGCAGCTCGTTACATCTGATACTCTATTTAATGTTTATCGCGACGAAATGATTTTGAGGTGAGTGTTTAGCTACTCGTATGCTTGCTTTAATGCGGCCTATTAAAGTTGAGATCGACGTTGACGAGAGCTCGCGATGGCTCGCAAGTTAATCGATTTCTCCATAAATACACTTTTATTTACGATTGCGTGTCTCGCTTATCGGAGCTTCTGTTTACGGCTTCTTTCAAATCTCCAGATTTTCTCTCACCGATCGTTTCATTTTAATTACAACGAGTGAACCGGTATACTCGAACTTTCATGTCTTTATGTCGCACGTCGGTGTCGATCGATCGATCGATCGATAAACATTCCCGCGATAACGCCCTCCGATGTTTGCTTATATATATATATATATATATATATAAGTCTATATATATAGTATAAGCCCTGCTAATTCATAAAAAGCTTAATCTATTTCTTATCGATCCGGTAAAAGTGATATTGAAACATCTTTAGCGGTCAATGTAAAAAATATGTGATCCCATTCAATGTTACAAACATTAAAATGCTCAAGCACGGAAATCCGACACTATATTATATACTTAATTGTTACAATCTATAATTTCATTTAATTCTATTAAGAACACTGCGCGCGTCGTGTTCTCTTCACAATCTACTCATGAAGCGCTTT